ATATATATATATATATATATATATATATATATATATATATACATATATATATATATATACATATATATATATATATATATATATATATATATATATATATATATATATATATATATATATATATATATATACATAAACACACACAACACACACACACACACGTATATATATATATATATATATATATATATATATATATATATATATATATATATATATATATATATATATATACACACACACACACGCTATCACCTGTGCCACGGCGGCGACTTCCCCTACGACACCTGCGTTTGACTTATCAAGGCGATATGTCATTTTCTCGGGCTCTAGCTGTGTGTGTGTGTGTGTGTGTGTGTGATGTGTGTGTGTGATGTGTGTGTGTGTATATATATATGTATATATACATGTGTGTGTGTGTGTGTGTGTGTGTATGTGTGTGTGTGTGTGTGTGTGTGTATGTGTGTGTGTGTGTGTGTGTGTATGTTGTAAGAGTAAGTGACCACCGCAAGCCACTAGATGTAAGCGAAACAGAGATGGTCTTGGGGCGGTCAATGAAAGGGGTCTTAACTTGCTGGTTTATTTCTGAAGGTAGATATGAGACCCCCGAGAGACCCCCGTGTCCCCGGGTGGAGGACGAAGTGGTGGAGCTGGACCCTGTGTGGCTTGGCCTGTCTGTCGTGTCTCCCTGGGCCTCCCGTCGTCTTAGGCACGTGCCCTTTTATGCGGTGGTTTCCTTGGAGGGCGAATGTTTATTCCTGTGTGAAAAGAGAAAAGAAGGCAACACCTGCGTCCTGCGCAAGGAGAAGGGCCGCTGCTTGGACCGAGGTGTGAATCTGCATCCGGTCTTGCTACGTATTGTTCACATCGCTCGGCCACGCGTAAGGCTCGTCCTCGAGCCGTCTGCAACGCTTGAACACTGCAGTAGCACATAGGAATACAGGTTCTGTTCGGTATCTACAGATGGTTCCTGGTGATCCGATGGTCGCTAGGGTCGTCGCGTGCCAGGATAGCAGGTGCGGTGGAGGTTTCGCACTGAGGTGCAACATTCAGTAGCGAGGAGGGTCAATCATCTTCAGAAACTGAAATATAAGTGTACCAGGCCAGTAAAAGGGCTAAGGAGGAGGATAATAATCTGTTTGCCAATCACCTTACTAAGTTGCAAGAAAAAAATGAGAGCATAATAAGAACAATTTGTCACAAGAAGAGTAACGTGTCAAGTGAGTGGGTGTTAATTACTTGGATTTGTTAGGGTTAGCGAGTTCTGTCGAGTACCATCATACTGAAGAGAGAAAAAACAATTGGACAAGAATTCCATATATATGGGCTAAATAGGCAAGTATATATGCTTCGAACATATAGGCAACTGGGCCTGAACTTAATTCTAACAGTGCGCGTCTCGGCGCTTCAATCGTAAGAGCGTAAGTAACATCTCGGTGCGGGCTTAAAATTAACTTGCGGTGATAATAATTATATAAGCCTATATGAAGTATGGTGTCCTGTAATGCATTATTATCGTTATGATCATTTGCAAGAGACTACCATCAGTCATATACAAGTTACATATTCACCAATTCCTTAAACTAAAGAAGCATAATTCTAGCATAGATGAGGATAAGATATCAAACTTCGAGAGGACGTCATGAAAGCGATTTGGGTTCATTTGAAAGTCTTAGGGATGGCACTTAGTAAAATTTATAATCCTAGGGTGAAATCCGTGTGGAGTGGGCAGGTAGGTAGATTTGGGCCTAAGGCAGGCAATCGACATGTATCTTAAAACTATGTGTGAAAAAGCGGACGATTAGCATGGGAAGTATAAGAAAATACAGGTGTTGTGAAAGACAGAACGATATACGCACATTCATAGAGGAAATAGTAGTAATGAATTACTTACTAATAGGGTACAGTATGCAGGTGAAGACAATAATATCACAACGAAAATCGTAGCAGTAAATATGAATAACATAACGGGGAAAATCGAACATATCTACACATACTTATTTGTTCTAAGAGAAAATAAATTATAATGAGCTGCAATGTGAGGACAACAACTATAAACAATAGATAAAACACCAACAGTAGAAAAATATTATAGCAATTAAAATATGGTTAGGGAAGGGGAACGAGGTGTGAGGTGTGGTGTGTGTCACTTGGGTTTGATCTCAGTGTGTGACTTCGCTGGTTGTGTTGAAAAAAAACAATGGTTGACAGCGAGAAGTGATGTATTATATAGTTTGTAGTTTGTGTTCGTTGAGTGGCATGTACTTGAATTTGAAAGACTGGCACTAATAGGCATACTTACTTTTAATAGTAGCTAGGAAGTATTGGTGGTGCTGAGTAGAATGGCGGTCCATGGTTGTGCTGACGAAGGTTCGTGAAGACTTAGCGAGGTAGATGAGCCGGATTGGCGAGTGCGGTAGCGTAGAGTACGGGAACATATCGTCAGCGACTTCGTCAAGAGGGTAGCACAGACATGAGTGGTCAGCACGAAGTAGCAGGG